TACTATAGTAGCGAGCAGGCCGGCAGCAGGCTGGAGCCATCGGCGAGCAGCCGAATAAGATCCTACTTAGGAATTAAAAAAAATTCTCAACTTTATCAGGATAGTTTAACAGGTTAAAACGTTAATTCGGAGAAGAATAGCTTCCTCGCTTCAACAAACACCATGGCTGCGGAGCACGACCAGTTTTACCAACACATCCGAACATCGCCGATATGTTGACGAAATACCGAAGGAGGAGCTCGGCACTACGTACGTGAAACTTCCCGGTTTCCGAGATGCGTACTTTTGGAGATTGGACGGACTAGAAGCTGCATCCACGGAGGTTTTCGATCAGTGCTTTCATGACCGCGAGCCTGTATTTCAAAATGGCTGGAGGGATGGCCTCGGGATCCGAACGAAAAAAGCATGTTGGAGTGGCTCGCCGATATCGTAAAGACGCTGGCGCTACTTGCAGAAGCCCAGAAGTCCAACGCGACACATCAGCGGAGCCTCTTAATCTAGCCCAACACGCCAATGCATGGTTCGACGGCGGACCGCAGACTGGATGTTGGTTTTGTCGATGATTTAAAAGGACCTCCATACCACTGGAAGCAAATACTAGTACCCGGAGAACTGAAGAGTAATCCGTCTGCCGACACCGCCTCCAAAGCTTGGATCGACCTTGGGAGATATGCGAGGGAAGTGCTCGCCGCACAGGACACCCGACGCTTCGTGATGGGCTTCACGCTCTGTGGATCTCTCATGAGAGTGTGGGCCTTTGACCGGCTTGGAGCCCTCGCATCAGAGCAGTTTGACATCAACAAAGACGGCCTGCAGTTTGTGTCGGTGGTCCTTGGATTTCTGGATGGATGAAGAAGACCTCGGGTTTGAGCTAACGGTCATGGTGTCGGACAAAGACCGATTTATCAAGATTCCGCGGAACGGTTCTACCGACCAGATTGCCATTGATGGGGTCATCCTTCGGGCGCGTTGTGTGGCTGGCCGCGCTGTGACTTGCTGGAAAGCCCATCCCAAAGGACATCCAGAAACGCCGCTTGTCATCAAGGATTCATGGCAATATCCCGAGCGCGATGAGGAAGGCGATCTTCTGCGTGAAGTGACGGACAAAGGCATTGTAAATGTGGCCCGGTATTATCGCCACGAAACGGTCCGGATTCGTGAGACAGAGGATGACATCTGGAACAACATTCGACATAGTCTAGATATCACGGCAGCGCTAACTACCGGCTGGGACGACAGATACCACCAAACAAGATGGTAAAAGATGACCCGCGGAAAGGCCGGCCCGGCAGCAGCAAGAAGCGGCCCTCCAGCCTACTCGACTCCGCTTTGCCCTCAAGCAAGCGGTCCTGCTCCATGTCTCCAACAAAGGTGCCAAGTACCGCCCAATCGGGTTCATCGGCGCATCATTCTCCGGGATTATGGCGAGCTCTCGATCAGCATTGCTTGCTGCACTGGTATGCTGCGTTGACGCCCACGAGTCTTTGTCCAAGGCGGGCATTCTCCACAGAGACGTATCCATTGACAATCTCATGATCAATGAGGACAGTCGCAACCCATCCTGGTCTGCTTTTTTGATTAATTTTGATCTGGCAATTCGAGAGCCAAGAGAAGGGTCCCCTGGTGCTAAGGGAAAGACTGGTATGCGAGCATTCATGGCATTCGGGGCGCTGCTCGGCGAGCAGCGTTCATTCATGCATAACCTAGAGTTGTTTTTCTGGATGCTTTTTTGGATATGCATTCATTATGATGCAAATGGCAAAAGATTTCGGCCTAACCGGGTTTAACAGGTGGAACTACGAGAGTGATGAAACGTTGGCTGAGCTCCAGATGGGTGTAGTTGCTGACGAGCAATACTTTCAGCAAAAGATTACGGAGAGCTTCACTGCACAATACCAGCCACTAGTGCCCTGGGACACAAAACTATGAAGGCAAGTGTCCCCCCGTGGGCGTAAATGGTATAGATTGGAGCCTATGCTCCATTCCTCAATGAGGCTGGTTCTTAACGGTGCACAGAAGGATCCAGAAGTGCTAGCACACTCGTTATGTTATGTGAAATCGTACTATCCAGGCATCCCGCCCTCCCGTCCATCCACTTCTCCTCAGCTCCAATGAGCTGAGGGACGACGCTGTCATGCTATGCTGCAAATGGCGTTGCTCGAGAGAAGGAAGCCTAACTCAAGATTAATTTTCGAGTTGGCATACGACGTGACGACTGATGGCAGCCTGTATCTCGAGCTTGTTCACGAGGTCGACACTGCTCGCTTTTTCATTGAGCAGTGCATGCTAGAAGAGGTGAGACACCGATGGGTGGAATCCTCAACAACTTTGCATTTATCGATCCTTTAAAAACCAAGTATGTTATCCTATCTTAAGTCTACGGCGGCTAGCTCAATTATCTCTAACCGCCCTAGAATCGCTTTATTCAACACAGTCGCATCCCTTGAGGAGCTTGGTCTCGACGGGGTGTACCAATACTTTTGTTGATACCGAATTCGTCCACGAACACAATAACTCGAACATATCTAGTACATATTCTGTCCCGTAAGTCTGTGGTATGCTCTTGAGCGACGATCCATGTTGCTTTACTAGTTAACCTTTCTCAATGCCTTACTGGTGTTGAAGCGTAAGAAGCCGGCATCGCAATATTGTCGGAAGAAGGTAGCCACATGATTGAAGTTTGGAGTCGGTCCGACAATAAGACGACCGTGCAGAGCGCTCCTTGGCGTAGGAGGCGTGATTGACTTGGGGTTACCGGGAGCATCTGCTCGAGTCTCTATGGTGCACAGTTTCGAGCCTCTGTTCTCCACGTCTTGAGTGCCTGCACTTCCAGGGAGACTACAGCAGGTCGCATGACGTCTCCTTGTCTCTAGGACTGGGTCTCTCGGAGAACCCTGGCCACTTAATGAGGGGCTCTTGCCATCAGGAGCAGACATGGGGCCCAAGTATTTAGAGCAACAGTCTCGCACGACTGGCTTATCGACTTCAATTCGAACTTCACCTCAATCCTTCTATCTCTATTGCTCGTTCTACACACCAAACACAACCCTTCGCGCAAATCATAGACTTCTCCATGTCTGCTCGCTTCCAGAAAGCCTGGAAAATCCGAAGCATCAAGGAATTACACAGAGAGCTCGGATACACTAGTAACAGGGGACGGGCCAAGTTTAAATTAGTGTTGACAGACTTTCGAGACAAGGCTTTATCTGCCAAAGGTCTGAATTTTGAAGATTTCACCACATGGCATTTACCAGAACACCAGGAAGAGCTGCATAGTATGGCCGGGGTCTTTTTAGACAAGCACGCAGAGCAGCTTTGGCCCTGCGACGAGAACCCGTCTCAGAGCAACAGACTGCGATACCCGAAAGACCAGAATGAGTGAGTTACCATATGTCCAGTATAACTGGTCCGGAGTTAATATTCTTATGTCTAGGATTGAAGACTTAGTCTTCAAAGTATTTTGTCGCCAGAGTTACGGGACGGAAAAAACCTCCAAATTGCGAGATAAGAGAACGAAGAATATGGAATACTGCGAAGACCTTCAAGATGAAGACTACAGCCATCGGAGTCCAGACGCCTTAGGCCGTACGGTTGAAGACTGCCCGAGTCGCATTGAGAGAGAGCCTTTTGAGACCATATACGTTGCAGCTACGAGCACCGAAGCAACCTCTCATCATCCAGGTCAGACAGATTTGATACAAAAGCCTATGAAGCGCTGTGCAATGACTACTCTTGACTCTGCATGCACAGGGCGCCGTCGCCCCCGCCTCACAATGCACCTGGGCTGCGGGCTGTCCCAAGACAACAGAACCAATATCGACTGTGAGCAAGAGAGCATTGTGGTCAACGAGAGTTCAATCCGAAGCTCGTCGGCTCAAATGGGTGGTCATGACGAAACGGCAAGCGACGCCCGACCAACGAACACGGAAACTCGATCCCCAACCAATTCCACCTTTGTAGTCGAAGCCGGGAGTTCCGAAGATCGCGAATCTTTGTCAGGTTTAGGGGCCGAGGAACAAACCAATCAAGGTCAGTTGCCAGCCAGAGATGTGAGTACCAACTTCGTGCACACAAACGAAGGTTTGGCAGAAACGGGCTCGACAAGGGAGACTGCCGGGACCAGCCTACCAGAGTCGACAGCAGCAGAACAGGCAGGCACAAGGCATGATCCAATGTTGCCTGCCTCGCATGGGTCGAACCTCGGCGTCGAGGGAACACCGGCTCTGTCCGACGTAAGCAATATCAACCAACACGTACCTGAGGTTGAGTTCAGCTACGGCGTTGCCATACAGTACCCAGTGCACCTCAGGATACCGTGGACCCCTAGGGGTCACCTTGCTTTCAAAACCCTTTCTGAATTGGAGATCGAACTCAGGACGGTGCTGGAGGAAGGTTTGACTCGGACGACAGGCAAACAGGACTTCGCTGGCCTCAAGGAGTTCCGAATTGAGTCGTGGCATTTCGATGTACGCGGTCATGGCGCCATTCTAGAAATCGACGTCAAGCGCGGGGGAGAAAAACAATTCGAACACATGAAGAGAAAGGTGGATGAGCACATGCGACTAGCGATACAGATGTCTCCGGAGTTGAGACCGTCGTTCGACATCGAGATTCACATAGTCACCGGCCGAGACTCGAGGACCAGACAGGCGGGCGGCCACAGCTTTGGTTGATAGCTTTTGTCTGTTAAATGGGATGTGCTTCCCTAGATGGAGAATCTTATCTTTCCTAAGACGAAGGTGGCCCGTTACAGTAGAGTTACCCGACTTTGTTGTAGGAGTTGCAAGGAGCAACAATCGGCTAATAGAAGAAATTACACGTTCTGAAGAACGTCTTTATATCAACGTTGAAGATTTGGCCCGGGCTTCCATAAGCCAAAGCGTCGTCAGTCCACAAAATACGCTCACGTAAAGTCAGCAAGGTGCTCTGGAGGCTTTTGTTCTCGTTCCACCATGGAAGGTAGTCCTGACTGCCCCCGTAGTTTCCTATATGTATGGGTCTCATGTCGACTTGTTCGAGTTTCCACTTCTGTAGGGTAAGGCACAAAGCCTGGAAGAAGTCGGAGAAACCATGGTATCTATCGGTAGAGTTGGATGTCTGGCTTTTGATGAGGGTTCGGATGTCCTGCGTTGAATTGAAGGAATGCCGAGGAGCTTTAGGCGTCCCGGAAGAGGTGTAGTCATCGAGTCCCAAGCTCTCCGATGCCTCAGGCTATTTGTTGAGCGGTTCATACCGGGTTGGAGCTCTGCAGCTAGGAATGTCGTCTTGGAGGCTTTCGCCTTCTTGGTTGAGTGTCTCTGCTTAATTATGCCTGGTTCCTTGGCGACAGGGCAGTTAAGTGGGGAAATTCAAGGTGACGTGCTTACCAAGTTCCGTCCTAGGCTGAGAGAAGACAGGAGATGCGGTGCGGCCGGCAAAACAAGCAGACCCTGATCAGGCGGGCGCGACTCGACGATCCGGTTGTAGCCTGGGCTATGACTGCTTCATTCTGGCAGCCCCTGACAAGGGCGAGGGTGTAATATTTCCTGATGGTGCTGCAACAGTGTTTGACAGCACCCAAATCAAGGCATGAGATGACACGGTACCTTGTGCACGCAAAAGAAAGCTGACCGCTCCAATCTCCAATGCAGGGGGCAATTAGAGAAGTTCAATCGGTGCAGGGGCTGGACGAAAAGGCCGGTGCCTTCAACTGGTAGGGGTACCAGCGCTGGGCGTGTCGGGCCACCTTCTTGTCGACGAAAGCCACTGCACTTCGGATAGCAAACTTTCCAACCTCGGAATAGCCCAGCTGAGTACAATTTGTCATAATTTCGGTGCTCAGGAAGTGTATTGGGAAGTTACGGATAAATCTGACTTTGCGGCCTTTTCCATTTTCAAATTTCCTCATAAGCATCAACGGATTCCGTTTCCGTCATTCCATGCGCCTGACCAGACTTTCCAACAAGCTGCCTTACCTTCCCTGAGCCCCAAGAACCCATCGGAAGGAGCGTCCGGAAGAGTATTGTCACACCCGAACGCCGAAATCTCGTCTTCAGCTGTCCGCCATTGTTCTTGCCCGTTAAGGAAATATTTGCATCTACCGATCCCTTCGTCGGTATCACTATCTCATCGCTCGTCTCAGCAACAGATCTCCTGCGAGTCAAGTTTGTCTCCTTCAAAACTCTCTTTTATCTTGAATCGGCGCCGAGGGTGTTGAAGATTTAACGAAGAAGCCAGGTCAGAGGAGACTCTCTCGAATACGATCTCCATGCCTATTCTCCTCCCTCACAAGCGGCGGTTAGAATGCGAAGATTGTGGCAAACGTTTCAAGCAACGACAAGAACTCACGAGACATACCAAAACACACAATGTAGTGGTTCCGTTTGGATGCAAATTGTGTCTGAAACGCTTTAAGAAACAAGGGTACCTCATCCGCCATATCCGCACGCATGATATTGAGCGTCGTTTGACAGACAAGATGTGTTTGGAACGCTACGCGCGAAAAGATGTCCTCGATCCTCCCAAAATGATCCATACTGCGAACAAACCCTACGAATGCAAATACTGTGATTTCCGCTCCCGTTACCGAGGCAGTCGCAATAAGCATGAAGAAACTCAGCACTTCACTCTTCAGTCAGCTGCTGATAGAGACTCTGAGGTACTTGGCTCCCTTGATCTCCGCCCTCAGCGACTGGCATACGCTAATTCAAACAGTCCTCGGAAAAAGTCCAGCTCAATCCCGAATGATGTCGCCCTACGGAAAACACTCAACAACTCTAATCCGATAGACGCCTCTGCGTGCAATCCTGGAAGTGCGATCGCTCAATACGACCTCTCAATATACCAGGAGGAGTATCAGAGGAGCGGTCAAAGAACGACCTTCAGTAACACCTATGGAATTCGCGAGCAGCCGAGTTCCGCTTGTACACGCGTTTCTGCACAGGACCAGCACCACCTTCCAAGTATTCATAAAAAGGGACTCATGGAGTGCAGAATGCGTGAGGCTGCATACCCACGCGACCACAACATAAATCCCCTGCAGGGGTTTGCCGTTGGTGAGCCAGAAGGGTTGCAGCACTTTCATTATGGGAATCTCTTCAGCTAACTGGGCTACTAGAAGCTGGCGCGTATTGGTAACGAATCACCAGTGGTTAAGGCGAATGAATCGAGGCATTCAATTGGTACTATTTGATCTCAGTAGTCGTGGAGTTGGTGGGTGTTCTGGTCGGTTTGCAAACGGTACAAGCCCGCAACATGAGATAGGCATCCAAAGAAAGTGTACGTTTTTCAAATATTAACATCTTGCCATAAACTTTGTTTCTCAAACTCTTCCGCCACCTTTCGTGGCATTCAATGTATTAATTAAGATGCTGAGCTGAATTAGCTCATGCAAATCGACGTTGTCGGCCACGGTTGGAAGAAACATCGCTCACTCCCAGATCAGGCCAGGGTCACTTCAGAAGAACGCAATTGCCGAGCACGTTAAAAGAATGTAGGCTGATGTAAGTGTGTGAAGACCGATTGAGTTGGATGGAACTGAAGGCAGGAAAGCAACTGGATTGCCTAGTCACCTTGAAGAGTAGTATAAACCTTGAACAGTCTCAGTTCATAGATGTGCTATCTCGATCCGGCTCCGATCTTGC